GGATGTCCTGCAGGACCTGCGGCACTTCAACATCTTCAACTCATTGTTGGACATCTGGGGGGGCTGCCTCTACCGCAGCTGCATCCTGCTGGGTGCTGCCATCGGGGTGGCCACCAACACAGCCTACGGCCCCCGGCGCCTCAGGGCATCCCAGACCTTCATCGCCCTTGTCTGCCTCCTCATGGGCATCTACATGATGGTGAAGCTGCTGCTCTACTCGGAGGTGCGGAGGACCATCAGGGACCCCTGGTTCTGGGGACTTTTTGCCTGGACTTACATGGCTCTGGTGGCCACCTTTGGGCTGTGGCAGCTGCTGGCCTGTGTCACCTCCTCCCGCGAGGCGCTGGGGCCCAGCTCCGAGTCCCGCGCTGAGGCAGAGGAGAGCTGCGATGGTGGCACTCCGCAGGACAAGAGGGAGGAGGCAGCAGGTCCCACCATCCATAAGCTGCTGTCCTACACCAAGCCGGATGCCATCTTCCTGGGCATTGCTTCCTTCTTCCTCCTCGTGGCTGCACTGGGTGAGAGAAGGGACCTGAGGTGGCTGTGGTGTGCTTTCATCCTCACCACGAGGGAAGGAGCCATGGTGGGGGGGACTTGGAAGCACCCCAGGCTTCCTTTTTTGGGGTGATGGGTGGCATGTCCTGCATGGGCTGGGTGAAAAATGAAAAGGGGCAAAAAAAAATGCAATAAGGGATAAAATACACTGGGAAATTAAACATCCCCACGTGCCACTGAACCTCCTGAGATATATCATGAGATGGATGAGTGTCTCCATGGTGGAGATTGTCAGTGTGAGGTTAATGATTGGACTCAATGATCTTAAAAGTCTTTTCCAATCTAGGCAGTTCTGGGATGGGGTTGTCCACAGGCTGTCACAGTTGGAAATACAGATCCTGTGCCAATCCCACACGGTGTGGCTGAAACCCCTTGTCCTCTGCTTGTCTGGCAGGAGAGACCTTCCTGCCCTACTACACGGGGCTGGCCATTGATGGCATCGTGGTGCAGAAGAGCATGGACCGGTTCTCCACAGCAGTGCTGGTCATGTCACTGCTCGCCATAGGAAGGTAATCGCAGGGGCTGGTTTGGACCTGACGAGGAGGAGTTTGGGGTTTTCCTGCAGGAGCTCGTGGTGGTGGTGGTGGGCACGGGCTATCTCACCTACAGCCGCTCCCCTGGGTCCCTGCCAGACCCCAGGGATGTGCTTTGATTTCTCTGCACCGTGCAGAGAGGCCATGGTGGCAGTCATGAAGCTGTTGCGTAGCCTTCCATGTCCATCTGCTGGTGGTAGGGGAGCAGGAGGGACACAGGGAATGGATTCCCTGGGGAACGCTGTCCCAGCAGCGCTGCGTCCCCTCCTGAAGCTTGTCACTGCCAGGGTTAGGACCAACCATCCCTGTGCTGGTAGCACCCAGGAGAGGTGTGGGCTGATGGAAAGTGATACCAGCGCAGAATTGGCCAAGGCCTTGGCCCGGGCGTCGGGGTGTTTGTGTGCTGAGGAGCGGGTTTCATGTCCATTGGTCTATAACGTTTCTTATCTGCAATTAGCTCATTTGCCGCAGGTATCCGGGGCGGCGTTTTTACGCTCATATTTGCGAGACTGAACATTCGCCTTCGCAACTGCCTCTTCAGGTCGCTGGTGTCTCAGGAGTTGAGCTTCTTTGATGAGAATCGCACAGGTTGGTTCCTCTTTACCTCGGATTTGCTCTAACCTCTCTATCCCATCCCGGTATATTTTTCCCCTGGGTTTGCCCTACCAGTAGCAGACTGGGGGCAGCTGGAGATGGCAGCCAAATGCTTTTGTGCTGAAAGAGCAGCAGAAAGCTCTTCCTTTTTGGATGCCTCACACCATGGGGTTGGGACAGGATTGCCCAGCACCCTGGGGATGTCCCATTGCCACCCATCAGCCTGACATCCAGCAGTCCTGGGGCTGACATGTTTTTCTCCAGCCATCTCCAGCCATCCCACCTACTTTCCTCCTCCTGTATCTCCTGTCAGTCCCTGCTGTCAGCCACTCTCCAGCTCTGCTCAGGGCATGGGAAACCTCAGATGTGTGAAGCTTGCTGGGCATGCTTGTGGCTTTCCCTGCTTGTTATTCAGTCCTGTCCTGGTCTGTCCCACTCTGGTGTGGTCCCAGCACGCTGTAACTCTTCTCACATTTAATTTCTTCTCGGTGATATTTTTAGTTTTGAGGCTGTTGCCATATTTAGCACTTGCTGCATGGTGCCCTGATAGGTGAGGACACCAGAGATGTTACTGCAAGTGGGATATGGGTAACCCTGGACTAGCACTTACACAAAAGCATGGGAGTTCAGCTGGACTCAAAAACGAGCCAAGTATTTAGGAATTTGGGGTGATGTTTGCTGGCTGAAGTGTTTGGTTCCACCAAAGGACGCCGCAGGATCTTCACCCCTTGGTAGCTAGACCCACGTCCTCAGGGTCACTTGGGTCAGCTCCAGGCTGTAGGCACACGGCTGAACCCAAACAGCCCCCTCCAAAGCCACCTCACGCTCCTCCGCAGGGTGTGCTCTGCCCAGCCCTGGCTGATCCTGCCAGGATGGCCGGGAAAGGTGCCAGCAGTCCCTGGTGAGCTCCTGGAGGACTCCTGGCATCATTTAGAAATTAACTCAGGGCTGGGTTGACAGCTCTGGAGGTGCATTCAGCAGCCCAGCAAACACTCCACCCACGTGCCTGCTGCCTGTCTGCGCGCCCATGGGCTGCTCTGTGGTGTAGGGTGCTGCCACAGTCCCCTTTGCTGTCCTGCAGCCATCCTTGGTGACCCAGGGATGTAGCTTGTGCCTTCAGATGCTCTTCACGTCCCTTGTGCATGCAGTGATTCAGGCTCCTCTGTTTTGCTTCTCCACAGTGGTGGAGAGTCACCTCCCTTCCGTGCTGCCCTTCAGACCCCCAGTGAGGGGGCTCCCCAGTGGGGAGCTCCATCTGGCCCCTGGCATGGGACATGGGATGTGGCTGGGCAGTGACCTGCTGTGGTGACACGTCCCCACTCTCCCCTTCCCCAACCCCTCATTGATGCAGGGGATGTCATCTCCCGCCTGACATCGGACACGACCATTGTGAGCGACCTGGTCTCCCAGAACATCAACATCTTCCTACGCAATGTGGTGAAGGCCACAGGGGTGATCTTCTTCATGTTCAGCCTCTCCTGGAAGCTCTCTCTCGTCACCTTCATGGGCTTCCCCATCATCATGCTGGTGTCTGATGTCTATGGGAAGTACTACAAGGTAGGCAGAAGAAGTTGGCATGGCCATGATATACCACAACACTGGGCTGTTCCTCTCATGAAGCCATCGTGGAGACTGTGGGTGGCTTCAGAGCTGGTGGGACTGACACTTGGGTGCTTTGCTGCCAGCAGTGGGGGCAGGAAGGCAGCATTGAACCTGCATGGGCAGACAGGCATGGCCTCGGCTCTTATCTTGCTTCATGCTCAGGAGTGGAAGCATCTCAGGTCTGACAGGAGAGGTAGTTTGTCTGTGGGATGTCATGTATATGCCTGCCTGTCCTTGTGCAATCTGTCATCTCCTCTCCCCTTGGAGTGACTCAGATGGGGCTTAAACCCAGTGCTGAGCTCCCTCCCTCTGCCTGGGGCTAGCATGGGCCAAGGGCCATCCCCTGTAGCTAGTACTGTGACCCATGGACCATGTCAGCCCTGCACTGCTGCTCCCCATGTCGGTTATTGGAGCTTCCGACTGTGCCAGGGACACAGTGTGCACGGGCGCTACCAAAGTGGAGTCCTTGGGTGCTGCCTTCCCAGGCCACAGCTCCTCCACCTGTGGGAGGAGGGGAGGTGCCCTTGGTGTCCAGACCTGTCCCTGACTTGGAAACTCCTGATAGGGCTCCTAGTCTGGCCTGTCCCATCAGGGCACCAGCAGCACTGCTGCAGGCTTCCCCAGTGGCCCCAGACATGGCACTTCATCTGCTGCAGCCCAGGTTCCTCCTTGGGGACAGCACAACGAATCCATTCCCCTCCTGGCACAGTGTCCATGCTGTCCCGAGATGCCTGATGTATCCCAATCCTCAGCCTTGTTGTCCATGGCCTTGGAAAATGTCACCATGCCTTCTTTTCCCAAGCCCAGCAGAGCCCGGGGTGTGCAGGGAGAGGTGCCACCTGCAGCCCAGTGCCCGCTGAGCCCCCTCTACCTCCCCTTGCTCCCTGCAGAAGCTCTCCAAGGATGTGCAGAACGCCCTGGCCAAGGCCAACAACACCGCTGAGGAGACCATCTCCGCCATGAAGACCGTCCGCAGCTTTGCCAACGAGGAGGCAGAGGCAAACGTGTACTGGCAGAAGCTACAGCAGGTGTACAAGCTCAACAAGCGGGAGGCCATGGCTTACACCTACTACGTCTGGTCCAGCGGGGTAGGTGGCCAGCACGGGGGCTTCCCTATGTGGGGCTGGGGACAAGCAAAGGACATTGCTTTGGATCCCAAACTGCACGTGGCGTGATGCACGTGCTTCTCCTCTGCTTCCAGGGAACTTTTTGAGCCCGGCCTTGATGTCTGCTGCTAGTAATCCTCGGTCTCTTCATTATTATTTTTATTTTACTCATCAAAATCTATATATTCCATTCCCTTTAGGGCAGTGCTGCATCGTGCCACCAAACAGTCTGTTTGCTCTTGCAAATATGAATATAATTGATAACTGCTCAAGGTCGTGGAAAACCCCGTGCTTCTGTGTTGCTGCATTGCGTGCCTGTGCCAGCTCATCTCCGGGGCTCCGGCTGGGAAACAGCCGCGGCGTTGGTGGAGCTTCTGCTCAGAAACAGAGATTTTCTGCCTGTGGGTGGTGGCAGGGGGAGGCTGCTGGGATTTGGGTTTGGGGTTTTTTTGGAGGTGTGAATTTATTTTATTTATTTTTTTTTTTTTCAAAATGCTTTTTCATCATTCAAGACCGGATGGTTTGGGGCTTCTCCTGCATCTGCTGATAACTAAGGCTGTGCAAAACCCTCACGTGAGGCTGCCCTTATCCCTGCGTATTCACGGATCTAAGTAGCCTCTGGCGAAGGGTTTGTGAGTTATGGTGCCCTCCTGCAGCCATGGGACAGTTTATGGCTTCCCAAGTCTGGTAGCAAAATTGGAGCATTTTTAGCAATGAAGTCGGAGCGTGAACTGGGTCAGCACAGATCTCACCGAGTCAAAGGCAGCAAAAATCCTCAAAAACTCCTCCTGCAGGGCTCACGTAGAAAGAAGCTGATGGATTTAGCACAGCCCTGGTAGAGTCTTTCTTGGAAGGAATGCAGGATCTTAAGGTCAGATCGTGGCAGGGTAATAGAAGAGGGATTTTTTTCCTCAGTATTTTTGTCTGAGTGAATTTACAGCCTGTCCCACAAACGTCACACAGAGCACCAGGGCATCTCTGCTTTCCTGAGCACCCAGGCAGTGTGGAACAAAACCGGGTGAATAAAGGCAGGGGCTGATATTTGTCATATCGGAGCTGATTTCTAGGGTGATTTTGGGCAAGAGTTGAGGTTCTGCTCCAGGGACTTGTACATGCGAGGAGGATTTTTTGCATTAAGTCTTGGCTTGATTTTGTGTTCTAAATTAAAGTGTGTCATACTCATATAACAGAAAGTTTATTTTAGTGGTCAGGTGACTGCATGTGTTGGATAATTTGAGCAAAGATTATTACGCCTGAGGACATTAGTCCAAGAGAGAAGTTCATGAGATGCTCCGTTATTTCAGATAAATTCTCCCTCCTTGGCTGTTGCCCCTCTGGACTTGTGTTTTGTTGAGAGATCCCAGCCCAGCTCCTTAAATCAGCCCGTGGACTTGAGTTGCTTTTTCCTTCTCATACCCATGCTGGCTGCTAGGGCTGGCACCTGTGTGCGTTGAGTTTGGGACTCAAAGAATAAATGTCAGTGCACAAAGTGTGGGCTGTTGTGGGAGTAATTACAAATGCACCAAAATGCACTTGTCCTTGCTGATTTTGGGCTGTTTTCTTGCTTTCAGCTGACCCTCCTGGTGGTCCAGGTCAGCATCCTGTACTATGGTGGGCACCTCGTGATCTCGGGGCAAATGACAAGTGGAAACTTGATATCCTTCATTATTTATGAGTTCGTCTTGGGAGACTGCATGGAGGTGAGTCTGTTTTATCCCTCTGGGCTACCCCATATCAAGATGATCTTTGCCTTCTAGAAGATCCCAGTGTAGTCACAGGGCTAGAGCCGGTGTTGACTTCCCTGGGATGCATTTCCTTGGCATTGTGGCATGGTGGGCTGATTCTCCCCTCAGCTCCCCACTTCCCTCCTGCTGTGGCCTCACAACCTGAACGCTTGTCCCCCAATAAGGCAATCGGGACCAAAGGGGTCAGGCTGGCCCCGCTGAAGGGCAGAGTCCTGGCTGCCTCCCAAGTACGTTTCCTGGCATGAAGAATGCAGGGATTACAAAGCTGCCTGTTAAATTTCAGGCTTCATTAAAAACTTAATTATATTACTTTTTTTGTTGGGTTTTTTTTCTTCCTTTCCCTGGAGTAGGCTGCAAGCCGCTGTGTTGGCAGCGCATTAGCATGATGGGATTGTGGGTGGGATGGTAGAGCCCAGCCAGGGCTGCCTTTCCCCTGAAAGGGTGTAAGCTTGGCTAATCAAGGCAGAAATGATCAAGTCAAGGTTTCCTTGCAGCCAAATGTGGTTTCAGCAGCACTTTAGCCTTTGTGCAGCAGCAGAGCAGAGCTGGAGGCAGCTCGCCTGGCTGTCCCCATCTGTTCAGATGACTGCAGGCTCTGCTGGTGTTTCCAGGCTGTGTTTTTGGTGTGTGTTTGGTTTGGTTTGGGTTTTTTTTTTTCCACTCTTGATGGGAGGGGCAGTTGCAGTACAAGCTGTTCTGCAACTCTGAATTTAATACTGAAAAGAGCCGACGTGACGGGGGTTTATTCCAGCGAAGCCGGTGTCATTGTGCAGCAGTTGGAGTTGGGAAAGCACAATGGAAAACATGATGGTAAATCAATCTACTGGGACTGTATCCTGGTAGGGAACAACCATATCAGCTGCCAAATGGTTGTCTAGAAAGGTCCAGCCTGGAGCTGCTCTGCATTAGAGACGTATGCTAGGAAACCAGCCAGCTGCCCTCAGGAGCTGGTGTGATGTGCTGCTGTACGTGGACTCTGTTCAACCATTGGGCTGGGGAGCTGCTGGTCTTGAGCAACGAGAGACAGGTGGAGGATTCTGGTAGAAGTTTGGGTCTTTTATCTCCAGGTGCACATTTTCTCCTCCCAGTCCATCTGTTACCTTCTTCTGTTCCCCTCTGGGTCTACCCGTGCAAAAAACACCTTTAGATGCCCTTTCCCTGGATATGTCCATGTATCCCCCACAGCTTTCTTTTTCTATATCTGATGACTGTAGTTAATGTCAGATGATGGACTTGGGAACACTTGGGAACCATTCTCCTTACAAGTCACACCAATTGCCTTTTCCATCACATGTTTGGGTCTCACCGTTGCCTCTTCCCTTCCAGTCCGTTGGCTCTGTCTACAGCGGCCTGATGCAGGGAGTGGGAGCTGCCGAGAAGGTGTTCGAGTTCATCGACCGCAAGCCAACGATGGTGAACGATGGGTCCTTGGCCCCAGACCACGTGGATGGGAAGGTGGAGTTCAGAAACGTGACGTTTTCCTACCGCACTCGCTCTGCAACACAGGTCCTCCAGGTGAGCCCCGCGGGCGCAGAGCGCTCCCCATCATGAGGTATCACGCGCTGCTTCTCTGTCGTGGCAATAAGCGATCCCCAGCCCACGGGAAATGTCAGCTGCCCTTCTGGAGATGCGTAAAGGCAGGCTCAGAGGCATGCTGGAAAACAGATTATAAGGAACAGCGGGTGTTTAGAGCCGGCCTTCCCTACAAGGAATGAGCTTTATTAATAAAACCCTTGTTCCCCGCTCAGGCATTAAACACATCAGCACAGTACAGGGCTTTGTGCCAAGCTGCCTTGGCCTGTTTCCATGGGAGAGGGGATGGAGTCATGAGGCAGAGGGAGGCAGCACAGAGGTTAGTTTGCTTTGCAGTTTTTAGAGGTCCTGCTACATCTGCAGGCAAATTTGAAGCAATTTGGGAGGCTTCTTGCTTCCTCAGAGCCAGGAGAGATGGTTGATGTGGCACATCACCAAGGTGGAGGGACATTGTGGCCAGACTTCAGCTGCCTTTCTGGTGTAGTGCTCAAGCTGCTGCTCCAGGACCCTGGGAAAAGCCAGGACCTGAGTGTGCTCTCCCATCCATGTTGCAGAACGTGTCCTTCACCCTGCACCCCGGCAAAGTGACGGCACTGGTGGGTCCTTCAGGGAGCGGGAAGAGCTCCTGTGTCAACATCCTGGAGAACTTCTACCCTCTGCAAGATGGGCAGGTGCTGCTGGACGGGCTTCCCATTAACATGTACGATCACAAGTACCTGCACTCAGTGGTACGAGCGACTGATACGTGTACTCTAGCTATGGCCTGCTGTGATCAGAGGGGATGGATGGTAGCGTTGCATGTTGCTTTGGATTTGACCCGGTAACTTCTGAAATGTCCAGAAAGCTGGAGGCAGTCCAGGAAATGAATTCAGATAATCTGTGGGGGCGGAAGGGAAAGGGATAGAGAGTGGTTTCATGGGGAGGGGGAAGCTTTCCAAAACCAGAACAAAAAACATGTTTTATTTTGTATTTTTTGGCCAACACAGTAGAAAAATGTTTTTGGTTGTTGGATTAATTATCATCTAAATTGAGTTTGGAAAAAAAGTTTTGCTTCCCTCCAGCATATTCTACCTTAAAATCTTGAAGTAATTCTCAGCTAATGGGGAGTTAAACCTCTCAGGATCCTAGCAGCAGCTGGAGCACCAGAGGGGTTGGGTGGTTTGCCTAAGAAAGGGGTCCAGGCCCCTTGGCTCTCATCTATGTGTCAGCACAGATCAGCCTTCATCTCCTCTGCAAGTAACTGCCGCCTTTGTTTGCCCCCAGAGCAAATGGCCTCACTTTTTTTTAAAACCTGAAAACAATTGATCAGAGACAGGCTGGAAAGCCAAAGTCAGTGTGACTAATTTACATTCCCTGCCCGTACTGAGCGCAAATTAAAAGACAAGCTAGTCTTTCAGTTTAGAAAGCCTTGTGTGGTGTTAGGAGCATGGGGGGAAGTCAATTAAAATATGACCATGTCCTGCTGACTCTTCACATCCAGTACTGAGCAATAATTTGGAGGGTTCAATTTATTTCCATATTGAGTGTTTGACAAAAGAGGCTGATTGCGAGAGTGAGCAGCAGCGGCTGTAAGGTAGGACAGGGAGGCTGTTGCTAAGCAATTAAGGAATTGCAGCAGCTATGTCCCTAACTTGCTAATTTTGGATTAAAAGATGCAGGAGGGCTCATTCACGTGGCCCAAGTGTGATTACTGGCCTCAGACAGAAAATCAGTAAGAGCCTGGGAGAGGGTCTCTCCAGCCTGCCTTGTCCCAGCAACTGGTTTCCCATTCTGGGAAGAGCAAACAGTGATGGGAATGACAGGTCTGAAGCAAAACCACAGCAGGGTCTTGGAGGGGAAAGCCCATCCCAGATGCCAACGTACCAGCATCACATCAAGTTTCTTTCCTGTGAAATGGCTTCCCAGCAGCTGATGCAAACTGGGCTGGGGCTACTGCTGGGCACCTCATCATTAGCATCCTCACTGGAAGCTCACATTGAGGCACTTCTGTATGTTGGTTTAACGGTGGGGCTTTGCCTGCTTGAGTCCTTACCCAGCAGGAACAAGTGCTGATGATCCCAGATGCCAGTCAGCACATCTTCTGCTCCTGACCACCTGCTTTTCCCTTCCTTTCTGCAGATCTCCCTGGTGAGCCAAGAGCCGGTGCTGTTTGCCCGCTCTATTGCAGATAATATTTCTTATGGCTTAACTTCAGCCTCCTTCGAGTCGGTTGTTCAGGCTGCCCAGAAGGCCAACGCTCATGCCTTCATCACGGAGTTACAAGACGGCTACCAAACAGGTACCAAAATCCCTCCGTTTGCACTTGAAAGCATTGCCTGGGGAAGGCAGAGACTCTCCCCTTGGGGGAACAGCCAGACAGGTAGTGATGGACACGAGTCCGTGGCAACTCCATGGCAGTGTAGAGGCAGCTAGATGGGGAGGTGCAGCACGCTGGCTGCCTTTTGGGGTGACTGAGCTGTCACAGGATTTCTGAGCCCATCCCAGGAAAGTGTTCTGCCACTGCTCCATGGCAGCGGGGTGAGCATCCCCCATCCCATCTGGACCAGTCCAGCTCCCAGTGCCTGGCAGTGTTCTGGAGATGTGGCACTGGCAGTCTCACCATTTTTCAGTGCAGTGATCAGAAGAAAAGCCCAGAACCCAAACGGTGAGCCATGTACCACTCCACCTGCACAGGAAGACAATAACTTGAAGTAAATCCATAGCAATAAAAGCTGATGTGTTTGTGACAGTGGGACTTTGTGAGGAGGCAGGTCAGACTGATGATGGTTCATGTTTGTGGGAGCCAACAGAGAGGTCCTGGTTTCCCCTCACTGCTGCCTTGGTTGCACACCCTCCAGAGCCCGACATGCAGCTGCATGGGCAGGTCTTGGGGGCTTGGGGTTTGGATCATCCCCGGGCTCAGGGACTTCATTGCATTGTTTCCCACTGCTGCCTTGGTTGCACACCCTCCAGAGCCTGACATGCAGGGGGAGACGGCAGCGATGCAGCTGCATGGGCAGGTCTTGGGGGCTCAGGGTTTGGATCATCCCCAGGCTCAGGGACTTCATTGCATTGTTTCCATGAGCATTGGTCCCTCAAATCCTGGGACTACAGTGGAGAACTTGTTGCTGGAGGGAAGGACTGCAGCCTCAGCGATGTTTAATTCATTTCAATTGCTCTGCCAAGTGAGCAGAAGCATTTACCTGGTCTTTGCTTCACACCGTGACACCATCTCGATGCTGCTGGCTGGGAGCTGAACTTGATGGCAGCTCTCAATTTTTATTTTAACCCTTTCCTCTTTCTCTTGACCCAACAGAGGCAGGTGAAAAAGGAGCCCAGCTGTCAGGTGGCCAGAAGCAGAGAGTGGCAATTGCCAGGGCCTTGATCCGAACCCCACCCATCCTCATCCTGGATGAAGCCACGAGTGCGCTGGATGCAGAGAGCGAGCATGCGGTGCGTAGGTGACTTGGGTGTTTGGACCAAAGAGGCAATCTGGGTTTGGAGGAAAGACTGTAGCTTCAATTTCCAGCCTGTGGATAGGCTTAATCTTGACATGGTGCAATCAGAGGTTTGGGTAAGACACTAATTCCTGAGCAGGAACTTGCTTCCAACACTGCTGTAGCCACCAAGAAGGGAATAATCTGCACTCACAGCAGCCAGTGCCTGATAAACCTGATGAGATCAGGATCTCTACCATTTTTTTAAATGTGGAAAGTGTTAATTGGCATACAGAAGCTCTATGCAGCCTTTAGGACAGGATCTGGAGGAAGACCCTAAAAAATGGTACTGCAGGAGGGAGCATAGGACTGCCTGAGCTAAAATCCCAGCTGAGGCACTAACCATGGTGGCAGGAAAGGCTCTGAGCATTCTGTCAACTGAGCTGGTTTATCTGGCTGGGATGTGGCAACCAAACAACTCTACCAGTAGCAGTTTGGCCTCACTAGTTCAGTGACATGAGGGAAAGCTAGTTCAAGGTTGAAGTGTGAGGACATGTCTCCTGGTCCCAGAGGATGAGCACTGCTGGTCCACAGTGTAGGGCAGCGTGAGCATCTGACCTTGGAGCAGCTCGTGGGATTGCAGGTCCTCAGCCACGTGTGTGGTATCTGATGCCAGCCAGGGGCTGGTTTTGGCTAGCCAAGGGTGTACATTCTGTGATTCTGTGATTCTGTGATTGTGCCTGGTGGCCACCTGCCTGCCTTTAGACCTTAGTGCCACTGTCTGTCTCTTGGCCAGAAAACAACTCTCTTGCTTTGCATTTACACCCAGGAAATAGCCCCGCTTTTCTGAGCAGCTGCATTTACCAGGTATTGGCTTTCTGCAGTCCCTTCCAGCACCACGTGGCCTACAAATTTGGGGCCCAGCTCTAACGAGAACCCAGCTTGCAGGATCAGACCTGTGTGCATACCACACCTGCGGGCTGGCTGGACTGAGATGGTCTTTCGGGCTGCACAGCAGCAGCCAGGAGCTGGGATGGACGTGCTGGTGCTGGTAGTGCTGCAGGGCTTCTTGTGTCCTCTGCGTAGCCAGAGGAGAGCAAACCTCCCATCCAGAGGTTTCTTACCATTAAGAAACCAAAGAGGTTTCTTAATATAGACCACAACGCTGCCATTCTCCCTTCCAAAGTGGAGTCAGCAATGCTCAGGCACTAACATCTTCTCCTCTCGTGCAGATTCAGCAGGCGATTTACGGCGACTTGCAGAACCACACGGTGCTTGTCATAGCTCACAGGCTGAGCACTGTGGAGAAGGCACACAACATCATTGTGCTGGACAAGGGCCGCGTGGTGCAGCAGGGCTCACACAAGGAGCTGATGGAAGAAGGAGGCCTTTATTCCAAGCTGGTGCAGAGACAGATCCTGGGGCTGGAAAGCAGCGGTGCGGACAGTCACCAACCCACAGCCCGGGGGGATTCAGCGAAGGCAGCCGGTGGGCTGGAGGAAGAGTTCAGGATAGACCATTCCCTGCCAGCCGTGGCACAGGACGATTACAACAACATGGTTCACAAGTGAGAGGGGTGAGGGTCAGCGCTCGAGATGCTCGCTGGGATGCTGAGACAGGAGACAGCTTGCTGACGGGCTCACGTGCTGCAGAACGTCACCTGCGTGCTCACCCCGCGCGTCACACACCGTGCACACACCAACACACACTATAGAGCTTCCCGCGTTACGGTCCGGCGGGCAGGTGCCGCCTGGTCAAACAGGGAAATGGATTTATTCGAGGGAGTTGGGTCTTTAGCAATTCCCAGCGTTTCTACTGGGTTTCTTTTCTTATTACCAGTAATTCCTCTCGCCTGGGACTCTTCTCCCGTTGATATGCATGTGTAACTGCTAGTAACTGTAATGGATCTCAAATGCATGCGTGGAGGGGAAGATTGAAAACCCCTTCAGGGATTTCAGGGGGTGGCTTTTGTGGCTGGATAGAAAAAACAATGACTGTAAAACAAAGTTCTGCTCCTGCTCACAGTCTATGGGGCCAATCCAGCTCCCTTTGGCTTTGGAGAAAACTGGATTACTCCCATGGGCTGAACACCAGGAGAGTTTTGCACTGAGTGCCTGCAGGCTCAGGCTCACAACCGTCGCTGCTGAGCTTGTGTCATGTAGTAACCATCCTTGCTGGAATGAGCCAGGGGACCAGGAGGCAGATGTTGCTCTCTCAGATGTGCTCTTGGTGCTTGGTGGGTGTTTGTTTTTAAGGATGAAAAGTTTTACCATAATTGGGTTAGGTTTTGGGGTTTTTGGGGGTTTTTTGTTGGGGTTTTTTTAATATACTTGTGTGCACTGTGCAATGTCTGTCTGGCTCCAGCATCCACTGAAAATTGGTCTGTTATTTCGGAATTTTTCTAACTCACAACCCTGGTGCTGGTTTGAAAAAAAACACTACTAAAGACAGGCATAAAATACTAAAAGACAGCACTTTATAAATCCCACCAAAGCTTTGTTCAGCTTCAGGCCATGCTAGCGACTTCACTGCATGGAAATCCATACAGTCACTTTCCTTGAAGTCTGACTTCAGCTGCCTGAACTTTAAAATGTGTTTCTTTTGAATATTATTTATTAACTTACTTTTAATATGAGGGATAGAAAGAAATACATTGCTCCTAGTCCTTTTGGGTAATGGCTCTGGCTTAGTAGTGTTATCCTGCCATAGACTGGTGAAGAACTCTATGCAGCCAGGCAGGTACTGTTGAAAAATAGCATTTATATGGGGAAAATTGACTTCAGACTGTGCATAGTTAAGAAATTATCTCAAGCACTTTAGCTCTCATGTTTTCTGATAATTGAATGCTGCTGTGTTTTACTTTTCGGCAGGTTTGCATTTTTGTTGTTGGCAACGTTTTGTTTTCATTTAGTGATGTTTTACAAACTCTTTAGTGTCCTTGAGGAGGGATGCTCAAAAAATAAAATACTACCTCTGCCACTCAACATTGAGCCAATCTAGTGGGGGTGTTTTTTTGCATTCAGGGTTTTCAAGGTAAGGTTCATCTGAGATGATGGCTGAATACAGCTGCACACTGCACATGTTCTGGCTCCCTTGCAGGGAATGACAAGAAGATCCTACAGACAATTAGGTATGTAAAAGACTTCAGCATCTAATAGTGGCTGTGAGCCATAGCAGTAGGTATAACCTGTTTAAGAACTCGTTTTCACCCCAGATCCCATCCAGTAGTCAGTCTTGCACAAAAGGGCAGGCAGCCTAACCCGTTCTCAAAGCACAGTGCTTCGTGACTGGGATCTTTTCAGCTGCTTGCTTTTGTGATATGATAAAAATCTGTGCCTTGGAAGAATGAGAGCTCTTTTTGTCTTATCTCCCTCCACTTAGGAAACCTCTGTCGAGCTCTGAACTCCTCAGTTCACCACTTCAGTAAATGGCCATGCAT